ACCGGATCAGGGTGGTGACGGGCGGTCTGCGCGAGGAGTTGTTGCGGGACCAGGAAAGGTCAGCGGCTCCGGACGAGGACGGAGATGAGCCCGGCCTGCAAAAGGGGATGATAATGACGTTGATCTGATCTGTTGCATGTTCTTAATGATATCGGGACGGACACGGAACGAATAGAAAGGGTGGAAACTCGCCGTGACGTAAGCACCGCATTGCGGAGACTCACCCCTACCATCGATCCCACTACTTTGTAGTACACACATCACAACATACTTTTTATTGTCTGACGACGGCTTGTTCTAAACCACTTGCTCGCGGTGGTGGAACTTTCTGGGTATTTTCTAGGAAACCGGGGTAGAAGGGGGTGAGTGAGGAAGAGGGAAAGCAATTAGCCTCCGGCTTAACGCCGGGTTGGTAGTGAAAACGAAAGGGGGACAGAGATTCAACTATGAAATACACTGCCCATCAAAAAAATTAAAAAAAAACAAAAAAAAACCGACCTTTTTTTTGCACGAAAAAATGGCCAAAATTAGAAACGGATATTTTCTCAGCCTTTTAAGGCACAGACCTTCCCTAGGTCTCATTTTTTAGAAAATTTTACGCTAAACAAGGTGGTTTTTTTTAAACTGTTTTCCTAATTTCAGTCAATCATAAGTAAATTCAAACATTCGGAAACTTGTTAATATTTGCACTTTTTATGAAAACTTCAAATTGAGCTGTAGAGCCAGGAAATCGTCCTGGAGTGGCGCCCTATAGCAATCGATTGGAAATTTTAATAAGCTTTCAATTGGTCACTTTCCACTTTGCCCTATTTTTCAACCGTTTTCAAGTTATTCGCGATTTTGGGAAAAAACGTGGTTTTTGACCAGCTCAAGGAAAAGACCGAACACTCCCTCAACCGATTTTCAAGAATGCATAACTTTTGAATTGTCTTGTTTTCGCCAAATCTACACTCAACAACTGTTGTTTCGAGGACTTTTTGAAAAAATTGAACAGGTAAACGAGATTGAGATATCGGGCAAAACGGAAGGGACCAATTGAAAGCTTATTAAAATTTCCAACGATCGAAAAAAATATTTTATGGCAAATTAATGGTAATAAAAATACGACTTAAGTTTAATTTAATGTTAGTTTTTTATCTTATTAATTAATTACACCGCCCATAAAAAAACCGAACACGTATTTTTTCACGAAAATACGGCCAAATTTGGAAATGCATACTTTCTCAGCCTCTTAAGTCATAGACTTGTTTTAGGTCTCATTTTTTAGAAAATTTTACGCTGAACAAGATTTTTTTAATGTTTTCCAAGCTTCAGTAAATGCAAAAATTCTGCAATATGTTAATTTTTTTACGAAAACTTCAAATTGAGCTGTGGAGCCTGAAAATCGTTCTCACGAATCTTCAAGAATGCATAAATTTTGAATCTTCATGTTTTCGCAAATTTTACGCTCTATAACTTTTGTTCTGAGGACTTTTTAAAAAAATGAACAGGGAAGAGACAATTCTTTTGTTTATTTTGATCTTTTAAGATGCGGAATGCTTCTGCTGTCGGTAACTACTTATTTACCTCATCACGGAAATTTAACCTTTCCTTCTCATTTTACAGGTTTTGCGGCAGTTTGGCTTCGGATAACGTATTGAAATAACAGGTTTAGGTATGATAAAATCGGGATAGGAAGTGGTCGGTTTTTCTATGAGCACGTAAAAAACCACGTTTTTGCCAAAAAATCGTGAATAATTCGAAAACGGTTGAGAAATCGGGCAAAGTGGAAGGTGGCAAATCGAAAGCTTATTAAAATTTATTTTTGATTGCTATACGGTGCCGATTCAGGGCTATTTCCCCAATTTGGAGTTTTCGTAAAATGTGCACAAATTAAAGCTAGGAAAACTTTTAAAAAAGCTATCTTGTACAGCGTAAAATTTTCTAAAAAAATGAGACTTCGAGCAGGTCTGTGACTTAAAAGGCTGAGAAAGTATGCATTTTCAAATTTGGCAATTTTTTCATGTAAAACCCAGATGGTTTATTTGATGAGCAGTATATTTCCCAGGCAGAAACGTACATTATATTTATCAAAGATAATTGAGAATACCTTTTTATGTTTGTCGAACTTTCTTGAAAACAGAAGACTAAATTTCTTAATTGTAATTCTAATTCGTAATTATAATATTAAAACTTTGACTAGTTCTGTAAAAATGTCAAACACATGAACGTTATTTAAAGAAAATTTAATGTAAATTAAAAAAACCAAGTATCGTGAAAATATTTCAAATAGTAAATATCAATATTTATAGGGGTATTTTCAGGATAAAGTTTCTGTCGTGCTTAATCCTGTCGAACCCACTTATACCCACTTATAATTAGTACTTATAGTTCAAGAAATTAAAAAGTAGTCCTTTTATGTAAAAGAGCAACTGCGAAGAAAAAAACTTTTCTGCATCTTAATACCAAATAATAACATATATTACTTTTTGTGCTGTTTTATTCTACTTTGTGATGACGTTTTTAAAATTTATCTAAACTCTCTCTCTCCTCTCGCAATCGAATATTAATTAACATTGTATAAATTGAATTATATAAATGTTAGACAAATTAATTATAGAATGAGAGAAAAAATTTATATACATTATTTGTAATTGTATAAAATTCCGTTGAATGCAAGAGTGGTCAGTATTTGACCTGCAACACTAAATAAAACCGCACTCATTCATTCATTCATTCTCTCTCTCTCTCTCTCTCTCTCTCTGAAGTACAATAAGTTAAACTTACATTAAGTAGTAGACACATTTAAGATTGTTTTGTTCTGATTATGACCTTATAATAAGTCGAAAGCTTGCCACTAACAATTCAATTTGTTCGCTATGAAAAAAATCTTCAAACTCAAAACTAATAATAAAATTTATCAATATTATCAATTTACTGAAACTACCCTCTCAAATAAAAAACAAAACAAATCTATTTATAACACGTATTCTTTAAAATATCAAATGAGTGATTATTGCAAAATCTACAATTGTTCTACACAAAGGATCCTTGTTTAATTAAACAGCGGGTTTCAGCGTAATGAGGAGGATGGCCCTCTGTGGTCAACAGCTTTAATCAAGTTTAAAATACAATTCATTGCAACCTACAATCGCATTAAGCCAGACTAACAAACTGTTTTTCAGATATTTATACGTTATGGGATTGGTGAAGAAAAAATCGTGCAAAATCAGTTTAAAAGTACAGGATTATATTAAAACGAGGAAATTTTTATTTTGAAATGTGAGAGGGACGAGTGTTTTTGCGTTGTTGCTAGCTGAACAACATGGTTGTTTTCTCGACGTCTATCACTTTCCCAACGTTCAACCCAAGGCCGGACGAAATCACTATGTAAATGTTTTCTTCGGGAAAGCTCATAGCGATATTTTCATCAGAGTCAAATATTCATGACTGTTATAGGATGGGATAATTTCACCCTAGATCTACCGAAAAACGCAAAAAGTGAAAGTGTAAAGATTAAAAATAAATTTAGGGAAAAAAACCAGAAAGAAAACTGCAATAACATTACTTAAAAATGGTAAAAGGTTTTAGTTTAAATAATAATTATTTTCTTCCTAAATATTCCAGGTTTGCCAAAATTTGCTAATACACAAAACAGTTGAGTCTCCCCTAAGGGGGCTTGATGGCTCCCTGGTGACTCATCGACCATAAGTCCCTTCAAATTTTCTACCGTTTATCTAATAATTATTTACTGAGAAAATTTGTTTATTCAGCGTATTAACTTTCTTAACGATTTATGTTTGAACCGTTATATCATTTTATGACCTAACATACTGTCGTAAATTAATAAAAATTTATTTTGTTATGGAATGAATGAAAGAGCGTTAATATAAATTATCGTCGTTTAAAATTTCTTGCTTGAACTTATTTCTTACTTATTCGTTATTTTTTTCAAATAATCATCTTATCAATTTGTTAATCAATAAATAAAAAATTACCAGTAGAATAACGACGAATGAACTGTTTATAAAAATGATAAAGACAGATCAACGCGAACAGCAGATATGATTGAATACAAATATATGCCATAAAAAATTTAAGAATATTTTACTAATATCTGACATTGTCCATAGGACTAATTAAATCATATAAAATAATAATTAGCTATAAATATAGCTGAAGACAAAGACATCAACTGTAATCTTTTTATCAATGATGATTCTCAGTTAAATATTTTTGTCATAATCACCGAAACATTCCTGAACTAATATTTCAACTATTCTTGAATAATTTATCAAACAAAGTCTTAAAATATATTATCCAGAATTATATATGAGTAAAGTCGTTCATATTATGTTAAGCATGCTCATGCAAATATACACGCCCAAACTACTATAAAAAAGTACAAGCTGGGAATAGAAATGCTTAGTATTTTTGGTTGCGGAAATGATTGACGGTTCAAAATTTTTTAAAAATCAATTTATAATTTAAAAATCCATCTCATTAGTTCAATGATTGTTACAAAAGTAAAAGAGAAATGTACAAGCAAATTTTTTAAAACGATAAATTAGGATATTTTTATTGATAACGTTTTATTTATATCGCAATAGTTTTTCATAATCTAAGGCTGTGTTTGAAATGTTTTCAAATATTTTTATATATTATTTAAATATTCATCCTATAAGGAAAAATGTAAAATTTCTTAGACATAAAACTGCCTAGGTGTTTAAAAGATATCAATTCCATTTTATTCAAAAGACGTTATATTTATATTCCCATTTTGACAAAGTACGATTTACTCAAGTACAAGAGATAAATGTAAATATAATGTGAAGAAATTCTCATAGACGGTACAAATGGTCAAAGAACACACATTATTTCTTCTTCCATGGGACAAAGATTTCCCATAAAAAATACATCTTCTACATAAATAAAAATCGGTTAAAGTACTCAAAATGATATACACAATGTGATATACAGCAAATAATAAATAGGCAAACTTTCATTTTTAATTTACTTACACTAATAGCTTAGGTAGAACCAAACTCGCAATGAAACCTTCAAACATGAATCGCAAAGCCCTGAAATTCGAAAATTTATGCTTATTATTGCTGGTTGATTGGCCTAAATATTAAAAATTATAAATTTACAACAAAAATTATAAGTTTTGTGTTTAGTTATCAACTAAACAACAAATACATAAAACTGATTTTTTTAAAAATCTAACACAATGGCCTAGTGTTTCGATTTAATTTGATTAGTTACTTTTTAACATGCTTCATCAATATTTGATCTGTATTGTATTGTAATTGTAATTAAAAATAAACAAAAATATTTATTGGTGAAATTTATTTTTAAAACGATGCCGCATTGACCGTATTGCGCCATTTGTTTGGCAATCATTCATTAAGCGACAAATCAATAAAAATGTGACAATGGTAAACACGTTCGTGGATGTGGTCGTTAATTGAGGAAAGCCTTAATTTTTTTATATATTTGTTTACGCTTTATTACTTCCTATAGGCCGTTTGTAAATATTTTTACAACAATGTCGTTAAATTGGATCATAATAATCTTTAAAACGACCACATTTTTCTCATCAGAACAAAGTTCTTTCTTTGTCATATTTGACGAAATAAAGTATGCGCTCCAAGTGCTTTGAACTTTTTTTTGTGTGTAAACAATCTTGTTAATATCACGATTTTCTTTTGGGGCTTTTATCTTAGCTTTATATTTTTTATTTATTTGACGAATTGTACACATTTGTTATGGTTTACGGTTTTTTAAAAGCAGAAATCCCAGTTTTACATATATTTTTATTTGCCAATTACATGTTTTCCCAGACATTTTACATATGTTAATTCTGTTATATAAACAATGATGTTTTATTTGAGTTTAACTCATGAATTTAGTAATAGTTTTAGGCAGTTTGGTCGAGACTTTATTAAAAACAATACTGTAAAAAAAGATGTACAGGGTGTTGCTCGTATACAAGGTTTTGATATCTGTAATTTTCCATCTGTGAGCCGTTCTGTATAAGTATTTTTATATTCCAAAATAGACAAATGTACAAAATATAATTTTCAATTAAAAATGTCTTTTTTTGTTTCTGTATGATTTTAGAACGTATTAATTTATTATTGTTCATTGGCGGTCGAAAGGCTGTGATTTAATCTTTATAATTAATATGAAAAAGATTTAAATGTGTTGCTTATTTTTGGTTTCTAAATGTACCATGTCATTCAATACAGAATTTCAAAATTTAAAGAGGTTCATTGTTCAAAACCCAGTTTTGAAAGGAAATTTACCTGGTGATTTTCATGAAGCTATTTTAAATCTCATGTACTTTTAAAGAATTTTTTGTATTCTGCTCATTATTTGTCAGATTTTTATATTTGGAGCATTAATAAAAAAAGAAAAGGATTTGAAAAATTTGTTACACATCCAAGAAATTAAAATATGTTATTATTTTTCACAATAATGATTTATTTTAATAGGTTTTGCCCATAAAGTGACATTTTGTTGAGTGCTTTAAAATATTCTAAAGTTTTACTTTTTGTATGATGCTGAAGGTTTTTTATGTATGATTTTGAAATAATCTCAGCCTACATTCTTTTTCTAACTTTAAAGTAACCAGAAAACTTTTTTTAAAGTATCCAGTGTTGATTTTATGACGTCTGTTTAACATCAAGTAAGCAACTAGTAAATTTACTACTCAATCTCAGAGTTTTGAGATTTTAAAACAATAAACACGAGACGTTTTAGACACATTTTAGACTTCAAAAATTTGTTATATTGTTACATAAAATCTTTAATGACAAAAATGAAGCGAAAAAGAACATAAGTAAAAAAATAACATCATCAGATATCAAATAGTTTTTTTTTCTAATTGCTTTAATATTTAATCTGTTCAATAGCTATTTAATTTAATTAAGTTTTAATTAATAGTCTTTTTTATAGTTTTGTACATATTTCACACAAATGTTTACATGTACATAAGGTCAACTGTTCGACATCGAAAAATAATATTTCATAAGAATATGTATTTATTTGGCCGATAGTTTTTTTATTTGCTTTCACACTTAATATCTTTAATAGTTAGTTAATTTACTTAGGTTTTATTTTTTTAATTATTTGCTGTATAATATGTCTACGTTCAAATTCAATTTGGGTACCAAGTGATAGTTAATGTATGAAATGAAATAAATAACCAAGAGTGTAGAAATTACCCATTGGCAGTACTCTTAAGTTTTAGTTAACAGAGTTTTTGTAATAACCCGAGGATATCGAGTACTTTGTGGTAGTGAGAATGAGTATGGGAATGTAATTTATTAGTTATAATTAATTAAGGATTTTAGTTGAGATAGTTGAGATTCAATGGCACGAGCGGGATTCGAACCCACGATCTTCGGCTTGATACGCCGCTGCTCTACCACTTGAGCTATCGTGACCATAATTATAATATATTAATTGGTCAAGCGGACCACGAAATTAGTGAATGTAATTAATTAGCGTGGATGGAAAAGTTTATCCTCAATCAATATCGGGTAATGTGGTGTAGTGTGAGTGCTAACCAGACTATCAAGTTTTTTATTTTGGTTCTGTGTATTTGTGTTATTTTACCCACAATTGCCGAGACCCTCAGGTTATAGGAGAAAAGAGAGTTGCGTACTGTTATATCATAAAACATCATTATTTGGCAGGAAAAAAAAAATTAGTAGCTTTAAAACGCCAAAAAGATAAGCAAATGAATGAAAAGATAAGGAAGAGAGTAGTTAGAGTTTGTAACTATTCCAGATTTTCAAAAAATTGTTAAATGGCTACAAAAAATGTTTAATGACAAAAGTGCAGGGTAGAAAAAATCCAGAGGATTTGTGTTATGCACAGGTCAACTGTCGGATATCAAATAGGTTTTTTTATTACTTGCTTTAATACTAAATATTTTTTTATAGTTAATTTAATTACTTGCCTTTTTTAAGTTTTTACATATTCTAGAATTTAAAATTTTTTTAACTGGCAACACAAAATCTTTATTGAAAGCAATGCAGCGAAAAAGGAAATTTAATAAAAAACCCATCCAGAATGGTTCTTATATACTGGTTAATTATTGGATATGAAATAAGTGTTTTTATTGTTTACTTCAAAACTCAAATCTTTATTTAATTGTAAGAAAATTAATTGAGACTTAGTTAATATCTTTTTTTCCATAAATAAAAAAGCTTTTACTTAAAAGGTGTAACCTTTTACACGTTTCAGATTTTAAATAATTTTGAATACAAAAATACTTTTATTTAGTCTTTAAAAAATTGGTTATAGGGCTCCATGGAATCTTTGCCGAAAAGAATAATGCAAAAAAAAAATCGTGGGTGTTTCACAGACAGGTCAAGTGGTCTATTTGTTATTTGCTTTGTTAGTCAGTTTTCTTTTATTAAGATGCCATTATATAATCAATCTTAGGAAAATTTTACAATCGTATATCAGGCAAATATATTTATTTATTTGTTTATTGTAACATCTGCTTTTCAGGGAATTAAGAACATTTTAGTCATTTTCCTATGTATTTTTCTCTTAAAATCTTAAGCTGCAAAAATTCTCTGTTTTTGTAAAGATAGGTCTGTAATCAAATAGGGTTCAATATATGAGTGTGTGGATCTTTTCCTTTTTAATTTCTAATAAAATGCTAAATTAACTTTATAGATATTATTTTATTGTGTAGCTTTAAAACGTTTTAAACTCTAATTTTTTTCCGTCTTTTATTAAGATATCATTACATAATCAATCTTAGGAATATATTACAATCATATATCAGGCAAATATATTTGTTTATTGTAACATCTGATTTTCAGGGAATTAAGAACATTTTAGTCATTTTCTTATGTATTTTTCTCTTAAAATCTTAAGCTGCAAAAATTCTCTGTTTTTGTAAAGATGGGTCTGTAGTCAAGTAGGGTTCAATATACGAGTGTGTGGATCTTTGTCTTTTGAATTCCTGATAAAATGCTAAATTAACTTTATAGATATTATTTTATCGTGTAGCTTTAAGACGTTTTAAATTCTAAAAATTCGTTTCAGAATCACAAAAAATATTCAGGATGTTGCTTTTTTTCAACAGGTCCAATGTTCAATATCAACTAAGCCATGTTATTATTTATTTTAACTCTAGATCTCTTTGGTATTTTAATTGGTATTTGCAGTAGCTTAATATTTTTTCTTTCGTTTATTGTGTCGTAGAAAATGCAAGGAATTAAGAACATATTATCTTTTTCAAAATATCAAGGTTTTCTTAAATATTTTATCCCTTAGCGAGTTAGGATTTTACAACCTGGCCAGAATTTACTCGATTTTACTGAAACAAATTAAAAATATAGTGGGCTATTTTTTAAACGATTCACTTATCCTGTAAGAGATTGAGGGCCGTTTTTCTCTCTTTTTGGCAATTTGTTTAAAAATGTTCAAACAAAATTGAAATTTTTAACAGGGTAAACTGTATATTCAGCAAAAAACACCCTGTTTTAAAGGGTGAACGTATAAATCAAACTGGCAGGGGGATGGTTGTGCAACCGGCAATATTCTGGGGACTGACGTTGAGGGTAAAGAACGGAGTATTGAATGGAGTGGGAGCCGTTACGTCACGTCGCCTGGGAAACAGGTACCCCAGCCCAAACCACCTGACCCAAATCATATTCGCAGACTACCCACTTAAGAGAAATATTACGTTATGTCCACACGACCGGTTTCGAATGTCGGGAAAAATTTCCCAGCCGATTATCCGTCTTCTATCCCCCGGCGGGTTTGTTCGTTCAAATATTTGATCTTTTCAAGAACAACCAGCCTTACCCTAGTGCCCTATTTTCGACTCGGCGTAATCGAATTTCATCTTTAGACCCCTCGGATCCCATTCACAGAATCACCCCTTTTCGAAAGGAAATGTCAAACGAACGATCCTACACTTTATTTTCTTATAAACCTTTCCTCTGATACTGTCGGGATCAACAAATTTGAAATTTGCAATTCGGCTCATGTTAAAATAACTGTGGAGATTCTGAAATTGGCAAAGTTTATTTAAATAAATCCATCCCGA